TTTTTGTGCCAGTACCATACTGTCTTGATGATGACAGCTTTGTAATAGAGCTGGAAGTCTGGAATTGTGATGCCCCTTTCAAGTAGTTTTAAAAACATTAGCCATGTGAAAGAGAGCCAGAAAATATATATTAGCTCAGACTTACTCATCAGCCTCCTCCCTTCCCTCCCTTCATCTCTCTTCACTTCTATTGCTGGCAATATTGCCAGGATAAGACTATCTATCTATCACCAAAATTACCATTTTAATTCAATAGAAAATAATTTAAATTATCATCTAACTGAATCTAACATTTAGTTCTGTATGAGTGAATCCAGGCCCCAATATAAAATATTCCATAGTCAATTTAATGAGGGAATGGTGTGAGAGAAAGAGAGAAAAAGAGAAAAAAAGAGGTAGTTTGAGTGCATAATGTTTTACATTTCTTTTATAATGTTTGCATTAAGCCTACTGTCTAATTTCCATTTTTTGAACTTCAGTGATTATTTTATTATTACACTTTTAAAAGAATGCAATTTTGAAAAAGAAAAGCAGAGCTGGAGGCATCACCATTCTGGACTTCAAATTATATTACAAAGCTGTGGTGATCAAGGCAGTATGAGACTGGCACAAAAACAGACACATAGATCAATGGAACAGAATAGAAAAACCCAGAAGTGGACCCACAACATAATGGGCAACTAATCTTCGACAAAGCAGGAAAGAATGTCCAATGGAAAAAAGACAGACTCTTCAACAAATGGTGTTGGGAAAATTAGACAGCCACATGCAGAAGAATGAAACTGGACCACTTTCTTTACATCATGCACAAAAATAAATTCAAAATAGTTGAAAGACCTAAATGTAAGACAGGAAACCACCAAAATCCTAGAGGAGAACCCAGGCAGCAACCTCTTTGACATCAGCCATAGCAACTTCTTACTATACACTATGTCTCCGGAGGCAAGGGAAACAAAAGCAAAAATGAACTATTGGGACTTCATGAAGATAAAAAGCTTCTGCACAGCGAAGGAAACAATCAACAAAACTAAAAGGCAACCTTCAAAATGGGAGAAGGTATTTGCAAATGACATATCTGATAAAGGGTTAATATCCAAAATCTATAAAGAACTTATCAAACTCAACACCCAAAAAACAAATAATCCAGTTAGGAAATGGGCAGAAGACATGAATAGACATTTTTCCAAAGAAGACATCCAGATGGCCATCAGACACATGAAAAGATGCTCCACATCACTCGGCATCAGGGAAATACAAATCAAAACCACAGTGAAATACCACCTCACACCAGTCAGAATGGCTAAAATTAACAAGTCAGGAAACGACAGATGTTGGCGGGGATGCGGAGAAAAGGGAACCCTCCTACACTGTTGGTGGGAATGCAAGCTGGTGCAGCCACTCTGGAAAACAGTATGGAGGTTCCTCACAAAGTTAAAAATAGAACTAACCTATGATCCAGGAATTACACTACCAAGTATTTACCCAAAGGATACAAAAATACTGATTTGAAGGGACACGTGCACCCTGATGTTTATAGCAGCATTATCAACAATAGCCAAATTGTGAAAGTGCCCAAATGTCCATCGACTGATGAAGATGTGGTATCTATATACAATGGAGTATTACTCATCCATAAAAAAGAATGAAACCTTGCCATTTGCAACAACGTGGATGAAGCTAGAGAGTATTATGCTAAACAAAATAAGCCAGTCAGCGAAAGACAAATATCATATGATTTTACTCATGTGGAATTTAAGAAATGAAACAGAGGAACATAGGGGAAAAAAAGAGAGGCAAACCATAAAACAGACTTTTAACTATAGAGAACAACCTGAAGGTTGATGGAGGGGAGGTGGAAGGGGGGATGGGCTAAATGGGTGATGGACATTAAGGAAGGCACTTGTGATGAGCACTGGGTGCTATATGTAAGTGATGAATCACCAAATTCTACTCCTGAAACTAATATTACACTATGTGTTAACTAAGTGGAATTTAAAAAAAGCTTGAACCAATATATATATGACTGTATGAATGAATGAAGCTCTTCCCAATAAGGTCAGCTGGGAGGAAGTGGAGAACAGAAATTAATAAAAATGTGCCTTGTTTCAAATCCTTAATGTGTATATTACCCACAGAAATTTCTCAGAAACTGAATGGTGTATTTCTTTATATCAAGCTGGGAGGGAGGGCCTTGCTCCAAGTATCCCTTGATACTAACTTACTTTCTGGGACTCATCACAGAAACTTCTTATGAGTCTTTTTAGAAAAGATATAGAAATTACAAATTTACACCATAACTTCAGAAGTGTTAACTTTACACAGAGGGCTGGAAGAGAAATTCATATTGCTGTAAATATTTTAGAAGTATTTGGGGAGCATGTTGCCATTTGTCAGATGTAAGAGTGGCCCAGACTGGTTAGATTATGCAGCCATGTAGTTGTTGCTTCAAATAAAGGGAAAAAGAAGAAGTACTGTCTAATTGGGATGTGACAAGTTGTTAACACATGGTCTGACTGGAAGAAGCGATCCAAGGAGTATTTACTACCTCTTGGGAATTTACTACCTCAAGAGAGTAACTCTGCATGATTCCTTTCTTTATTCTTTGTAAAGATCGTGGAAATCATTATGGAATTAAATTTTAGTGCCTCTTTGTAACCTTTGATGTTTTATGATGCACATAAACTTTTAAGCTTGCTTCAAACATTTGAAAATCATCCAGAGGAAGAAAGATATCCTGGTACATGGAGGTGGTGAAATGTAACGGGTATTTAATTTTTTTTTAGTCCTTTCAACGTCTTTGAATTAGGTATCATTTCTATTTTCCAAAGAAACTGAGTTTCAAAGGGGTTTAAATTATTTGTGTGGTAATTGGCAAAGTCAGCATCTGAGCCCAGATCTCTAATTTCAAGGCTGGGATTATTGATTGTTCCTCAAGAGCTGGATCTTTGGATCTGTTCTAAAAAGAGGCAGGAATGTGCACATGTGAGCTGACTTGAGTAACTTCATTTGTTGTCTCCAGCACGTTAAACACTCCATTACAGTCATTAAAGTCTTATCACCTAGTTACTAGTTGTTTTGTTTTTTTTTTGAGGGATCAGAGACATATCTAGCTAAAAAGGTCACAAGTGAGATGAAACTTGAAATAGTTCTAGAAGTACTCGTGCCTGAAATGCTACCTGCTTCCAGGATATATGACTCATCAGCATGAAAAGTTTTTAAGATTTCTTTTTCAATTGATAAGACAGAACAGTGCCTAAAAGTGCTGGGAAATGAGGAAGAAAGAAGTGTTTGAAAATGGACAGATGTGGGGTGTCTGGGTGGCTTAGTCGGTTAAGAATCCGACTCTTGATTGCAGGGTTGTGAGATCGAGCCCAGCATCGGACATGGACCGTGCTAAGATTCTCTCTCTCTCTCTCTCCCTCTGTCCCTCCACATACCCCCTGTGCTCTCCCTTTCTCTCTCTCTAAAATAAGTAAATAAAATCTTTTTTTAAAAAAAGAAAAGAGGGCGCCTGGGTGGCTCAGTTGGTTAAGCGACTGCCTTCAGCTCAGGCCATGATCCCAGGGTCCTGGGATCGAGCCCCGCATCGGGCTCCCTGCTCTGCGGGGAGCCTGCTTCTCCCTCTCCCACTCCCCCTGCTTGTGTTCCCTCTCTCGCTGTATCTCTCTCTGTCAAATAAATGAATAAAATCTTTAAAAAAAAAAAAAAAGAAAAGAAATGGCCAGAGGTGCACTGTTTCTTATTTGAGTTAAAGACTGACCTCAATGAATTTTTAAAATTTCACAGGAGAGTTTATCACTGATAGACCATAGATAATTCAAGTGCTCTAAGACTGGCCCACACTTCCCATTTATGAGTAAATATAACCCTTATTCTTATTTACATGGAATCTGGAGATTTAATGTCCTAGACTCTGAGCCCAGATATTTGAAAAAAGTCTAGATATGAATCTCAACAAGGTAACCAGATGCAAATTTCTGCAGGGCCCTTACTGTATTGCACAAGGGAGATAGATCACAATCCAGATATAAGTACACATGAAATTTAAGGTAGTAAATCAAGTCCCCAGATAATTACTTATCTGGCAACACAATGCAATAGAAAGGGCCTGTTGTGGGGGGGTGCGGGGGAGGGGAGGAGAAAAAGAAACCCTATGTCTGACACTGGTTGGGCCACAAATTGCAGTTGAATTTCTGGCAAGTTATTTAACTTCTATGAATCCATTTCTGCATGGATACAATTAGAGCATTGAATTACGCCCATTCTAGCCTTAATATGGTGAGTTGGCATTCATCCTTATCTTAGGTAGTGTTCCTCGGAAACTTAACAGGACACACAAGAAGTGATGTGTACTGTCTTAGTGATAACCTCTCCAAATCGATTGGGATCTTTTGTTTAAGAACTTGAGGAAAATCTTTTAACGATTTTTCTTGCTCCTTTCTAGGATTATCTGGGAGCTTGCATTGTCCTCACTGCGTCTATTGCATCCATCAGCGGCTCTTCCAATTCTGGATTGGTGGGTTTGGGTCTTCTATATGCACTTACGGTAGGTATGGATGAACACATCACTTTTCATGTAGTGTTGAAGGTACTTTCTATAGTTATTATCAATTCCTATTCATGGATGTAAGAGGAGCAGATTGAAATTCATAACAAATGACATCTTGCAAATAAAAGGAGATTGGGGCCCAAACCCAGCATTTTAGGGCAGCGTGGATTCAGTACTGATACTGCAAATTGGTTTTTAGAAACTCCTCAAAATCTATGGTGAGAGCACTCCCAAGGCTGTTTGAGATCCCTGTCCCTAACTTGTTCACAGCCTATCTGGGGACACTAAAATGAATATGAATATAAATAAGAAGTGCAATCAGAGCTACATTCAACTTGTGCAGGGAAATCAGAGGACAGTTTACGAATCATTGACATGTGAGGACCCTTGAAGAAGAGTGGACACCTCCTTTGCCTATTTTATCCCATGACACCCTCCCTGGTCTCTGATATCTTGCAGCACTTATGAATTGTACCACATGATATACACTAACTGTCCAAGTCATCCTATCCTAAAATATCCAGTGATTACAAAGATCATTACTTCATTTCAAATGTGTTAATTTCTTTTTGTCACCTGACACAGATAACCAATTATTTGAACTGGGTTGTGAGGAACTTGGCTGACCTGGAGGTCCAGATGGGGGCAGTGAAGAAAGTGAACAGTTTCTTGACTATGGAATCTGAGAACTATGAAGGCACTATGGGTATTGCTCTGAATATTATTTTGTTTCACTTAAATATTTTATACAAATATTAGTTGTGTGTCAGACACATTGTCGTTTTTGGTTTTGTTTTCCACTTTAATATCCAAGAATCCCTTCTTGTCTTGGCTTTGCTTTATGAGATACACCTGAAATGATATGGCTATTTAGGCCTGAAAAGTTTGGGATACGACCAGACTCCAAATAGATGTTATGTAGTAATATTTAAAGAGAATTATAAAAAGTATTTGGACTTAGGGCGCCTGGGTGGCTCAGTCGTTAAGCGTCTGCCTTTGGCTCAGGTCATGATCCCAGAGTCCTGGGATCGAGCCCCGCATCGGGTTCCCCGCTCCGTGGGAAGCCTGCTTCTCCCTCTCCCACTCCCCCTGCTTGTGTTCTCTCTCTCGCTGTCTCTCTCTCTCTGTCAAATAAATAAATAAAATCTTTAAAAAAAAAATATTTGGACTTTATTACATTCATTACCAACCTACACTATGAACTATTTATTGTGTTCTCTTTCTCAAGATCGTATTAACTTAGATGTCAAGAAACTTGGCTCTTACTGAGATTCTCAGCTTTGCTAGAATAAAATTGGCAGGAAATTCAATACTGAAGATGGAATGATCTTTCTTAAATTCAAATTTCATGCTTAAAATGAATTATTTTGCCTAAATCGTTCAATAGCTATCTGGGTCTTCAAGGACAAAATCCAGATAAGTTAGCTAAGACCACTAGACTCTTCATTAGTCGATCCTTGCCCACCTACCTGGTCTCATCTCTCATCATCTATCCAACATGCCAAGGTTTCTTTTTATCTTTGTTCTCTCCATATATATTTGAAACAAATCTCCCCATCCCTAATCCTTTAAGACTCATCTCAGGCACCATCTTCTCTTGAAACCCTCCTGGAACTCTCAGGTTACCACCATCTGTGCTCCCAGAGCACCTTGGGTTGGACTCCATCATGTGACCCTGCATGCAGTACTATAGATCCTGATGCTTCCCCAGGACACAGGGAGCACTTTGTGGCATGTCTTTCATCTCCATATTCTCATCACCTTGCACAACACTTCTCATTTTAAGCACTCAAATGTTTGATGACTGACTGAACAAATGAATGAATTTGCAGATGAACTATCTTCAATAGAACCAAACGATGGAATACAGAAAAGACATGATAGTTCATGCTTCCAAAAGAAACACACACAAAAGCTATTTTGAAATTTCTTAATCAATAGGCCTTTACTCTGAATGTAATTTTAATTTTAAAAAGACACAGAATTTGGTTCAGTATTACTTAAAATTTATTTTTTATATGTATATGTTTGTATGTATAAATGTATATAAGTATGTGTATGTTTCTTCCTGCCCCTCTTTCCTTCCCTCTCTCTCCCTCCCTCTCTCTCTCCCCCTCTCTTCCTGTCTCCCTCTCTCCTTCTCCCTCTGACTTCCCCTACTCCACCCTCACCCCCCAGACCCTTCTCAAGTTCCAGAACATTGGCCACAGGAAGGAGAGATCAAGATTCATGACCTGTGTGTCAGATATGAAAATAATCTGAAACCTGTTCTTAAGCATGTCAAGGCGTACATCAAACCAGGGCAAAAGGTATGGAATTCACTGCCATTTGTTTCATACAAATCAGAGGATGGAGCCACTTGATCACTATCTAAGCTCTTGAGATATTCAGCCAAGTACATTTTCACTGGGCTCACATAATACTCCCTATACTTGTAAGTCAAATTATCTACATAGAGAGAAAAGAGAGAGAGAGGATCAGGATAAAATACATGTTCTCTAAGTTGTATTGACATTCATTATTCTCCCGGGAAGATCAGGAAAATCAACAATATGTGTGTTTGTCCAAATTTCTGGCTTCTGGCTTACAGCCATATCAGACATCTCCTTGAGGACTTTTGCATTTGTACTAGCTTTAGTCCCAAAATGATTTGTTTTAGCTACTTTAAAAAGAGAAAATGTGCAGAAAAGAATTGGAGCCAGTCTACTTTTTGTTATAAAATCATCACTTCTAAGATAAAATTGAATACTTACTTATTAGACCAACAATATACTAAATGCAAAAATTAAGCCACGAAGGAAAAACAACACAGCCACATACAAATAAAAAGAGTTAGAATGAAATCATTGAAGATTTGGTGAGGACTCTGTGTTTTTATCTTAATGTTCATAATAAAAGAATGACGATTTATTAGCTATTTAAATAGAGGTACAGTTTCCCCATGGTATCTTGTCAAAATTAAAAATACTTTGTGCCCATCTTCTGCCTTTTTTCTGAGTCCTTTTCTGTCTGAGTGACATTTGCTTTTTAGGTGGGCATATGTGGTCGCACTGGTAGCGGGAAATCATCATTATCACTGGCTTTCTTCAGAATGGTGGATATATTTGATGGTAAGTTACTAACTAAATGTTCTCATTCGCCATGTGGTGCTTTTCCTTAAAAATAGTGAGGCATCAACTTACCTAATCCTGCAGAAATAAAGAGCAAATATTTATAAGGACTTTGTGTCCTGAGACCCATGATTTGAGGCAGGTGTCCCAGGTCAACAGTCTGGAAGTAAAGAATGAACATAAAATTGCTAATAAAATTATTAGCTCTAAACTCAGCTCTAGAGATTGTTGTTAAAGAATTCTAATAAACTGGTAAAATGAAAACAAAGCCACCCATTTTGAACAGCAGTAGATGTAGGTGGCATTTCAAGAGGAAAGGAGAGAAAGGAAGGCTGTCTTGCTTTGCTCAAACTAAAAACACATCCCTTTCCATCAGAGGAAAAAAATGCAAGGAGATAAGTAATCTGCATTATTAATTTTGGTGCATGACTCTTACCTTCATAACATGGTTTAATGATGCTGAACATTTTGTGGGGTGGCAACTTGCTAAGTGCCAAGCACATGTTGACAATATACAAAAATATTTATCCATCCACAAAATTATTAATAACATGATACATGGGAATAATTTAATCTTTGCTTTAGAGAAAATATGTCACATTATTTAGTCTATCAAGTGACCTATAAATAGCCCAGCACATAAACCGTCTTGAGTAAAAGGGAATCCAGCAATGTGCTTGATCATCAGCTCCAGGAAGCGCTTCCTACTATCATCTGAAATGATTGCGATGATGATTATAGTACTTCACATTTTTATTGTACTTGACAGTTTATATTACTTAATCTACACAACAGCTCTGTGAGGTGAAGAGGTCAGTTTATGAACAGAGATGAACTACAGTAATTGCAGTCTCCTTGGGGGTTAGATTCAGGAGCAGAGTAGGTAGGCATCAGCCGCTGGGTTAGCAGCTTGCTCTTCCATGGCTAGTAATAATAAATAATACACAGATACTTTAAGGAATTTCAGTGGATTTTCATTATAAGTCAGTTACATGATCCAAAGACAATTGATTGACACTTTCCATTAAAAAAACAAAAACGTTGGTTATAACTGAACATATTAGATTAGCCTGTTCCTTATGAATCCAGAAACATGTTTTCAGGCCCCATGTGGACTATCAATGACTGATTCTCTTGGTTAGCATTAGGCTATTAAGATTTTAATAGATAATGTGTTATTCCTGAAAGAAAGGTTAAGCTGACCACCTTGCCTCCTCTTGAATCTACATCTAGCTGGAAAAGGGACTCCACCTGCCATTCTTTGCTTGGCCTGCTCATTTCATATGGCAGTACTGTCTTCGCACAAAGTGACATAATCTATCTTAAAATAATCTATCAATTTGAGGTCAAAGATATCAAGATGGCACAAGTCTCTAATAAGTCTAAATACAGTATGGAGAAATTCATTAAAATTTGATATCTATGTCATAGAATTTCCTTTCTTATTTACAATACACTGTCCTGTTCAATCAATAAAAGAGTGAATAATTTAGACAAAATTACTGTCTTCAGGGAGTTTATATTCTAGTTGGGAGAGAGAGACTATAAAAAAAGATAAGTACATGTATATAAAATATCTTGTGAAGGAAAATAAAGCAGGGAACAAGGATAAAGGAATATTGGAAGGGAGAGGACCCATTAAGGAGAAAAAGTACTTTTGGTTTGTATGAACCATGGAAACTGAATAAAAACTGAGAATCTCTTTAAGAGAAAATACATAGGAAAGAGAACATACCACCAAAATGTATATTTTTCATAAAAATGCATAATGATGCTTTTAATAGTTAAATGGAAAGCTTTATCTTCTGATAAACCCTGAACTAGGAAGGTACTTTCAATTTGTAAACAAATATTATTTTACTTTTGATTTTACTAAATGCCTGCAATTTTTTGTTTCTGTTTAACAGGAAAGATTGTCATTGATGGGATAGACATTTCAAAACTACCACTGCACACACTACGTTCTAGACTTTCAATCATTTTGCAGGATCCAATACTATTCAGTGGTTCTATTAGGTAGGTGATGTATTCAATAGAAACCCGAATGTCTCAGGATTTACCTTTTGGCTCATAGGAGAGTTTTACTCAGAACTGTTTTTCAGGTAGGTGTGAAAGACATTTTCAGGATGATAAGAAGGAATATTCTAGTCAACAATTCTGGTCAACCCTAGAGTTGCTAAATTAACCTCTACAGAGGCCAGTCCTTTATTTATTCCAGGAGCTTTGCTCTTTCAATTTGACTCCACAAAAGTCACTTCTTCCTCAGTACTTGGGGCAGTGATTCTTTTTTTTTTTTAAGATTTTATTTATTTATTTGACAGAGAGAGACACAGCGAGAGAGGGAACACAAGCAAGGGGAGTGGGAGAGGGAGAGAGAGAAGCAGACTCCCCACTGAGCTGGGAGTCTGACGTGGGGCTCTATCCCAGGACCCTGGGATCATGACCTTGAGCCTAGGGCAGATGCTTAACAACTGAGCCACCCAGGTGCCCCTGGGGCAATGATTCTTGGCAGACATTTCTAAGGTGTTCTACCCTACAGATATCCTGCCTATCACTATGTGTCTGGCTTGGGCTCAGCAATATTGAGTTTGGTTAATCCCTTGATTCCCCCATCCCTCATAATTTTTCTTTCAGCCAAAATTGCTTTTAAGAAGCTGCTACAATCTTCTCCGTGCCTGGTTTATGGTTTCCCACAGTAAAAAAAAAAAAAAAAAGCAGTATCTACTACCTGCTAAGTGCTTTAAATATATTGTCTCATCAAATCCTCAAAGCACTGCTTTAGTATACATATTATTATCCTCATTTTACAGATGAGCATTTTGAAACTCAGAGAAGCTCTAACTGGTTCAAGTTCATACACTTAGTAAGTGGTAGAGTTTGTCTGATTCCCAGAGTCCACCATGGCATTAACCACCAGGTCATGTCTCTCAATGCATCCATCTTTTGTTCTCTCTTGCTCCCCTCCTCTACCTTAATTACAAAGAAATATTGCCACCTCCTTTTGTCTTGAAGAGAAAATGGACGTAAGATTGCTCAATATTCAGCTGTAAAATCACTTTAATTGAAAGTTGCGGATGTATGCAGTTATTTAGAAACGCCATAGTGAATTTACATGTCCCGGTAGATTTACTATGAATACTACTATTGTGGTTGGTGCAGCACAGCTCATCTAAGATAGCATTACGTGTTCCCGTATAATCATTGGTTCTGTAAAAACACTTTGCTAGACACTATTCAAGTTACATTAAATATATCAAAGTGGATAAATCCACATAATGAATTTTATCATGTCGTATCTTGCATATAAACTTACTAATTGTATCTTTGGAAAACATTTTTCATAACATTAAGGTCATTCATTTATTCATCCAACATGAATTGAATGCCTGCTCTATCCTGAGCACTGTTCTAGGTATTAGGGATATAGCAATAACCAAAACAAATGGAACTTATATATTTAAGGAAAGAACAGCAATAAGCAAACGTATGTATTTATTGACTAAATAACTTATTTTTTTCCCCTACAGATTTAATTTAGATCCAGAGTGTAAATGCACAGACGACAGACTCTGGGAAGCTCTAGAAATTGCTCAGCTCAAGAATATGGTCAAATCCCTACCAGGAGGTCTAGGTATATTTTCTAGAGAATACACTTATTTTTACATATGCAATTAATTCTATATATCTCTATATTTTATGCTAAAATCACATAATTCATGTTAAGTCCCTTTAAACTTAAAATAATCTCCAAAAGGTCTTTAGGATACTTCAAAATCTAATGTTTTTGCATAGGATGCCAGAGGATGAAACTTATAACAAATTCTGTTCTATATGAACACTCCAAAATATTCCAGTTAATACATTTAACTCTTCGGTCTTTTCACTTTTAGTGGTACAGTTATTTTATTTTATTTTATTTTATTTTATTTTATTAGAGAGAGAGGGTGCAAGAGGGTGAGTGGGGGAGGAGGGGCAGGGGGAGAGAGAGAATCTCAAGCAGGCTCCATCTCATGACCCTGAGATCATGCCCTGAGCTGAAATCAAGAGTCGGATGCTTAACTGACTAAGCCACCCAGGCGCCCAAGTGGTACAGGTCATTTGAATCAGAATATTTCCCTGTGGTCATTCTACTCATGTGATTGACATGACCCCTGACTCCCAGTAAATGGGTAGGAGGATTGAAGAGGCTACTAGGTTCAGAGTAGTTGGTACCATGTAGGAGCAGGCAGTTTCTCCACATTGGCAGCCATTTTCTTTGTTGCCAGAAGGGCCTATTCCTTATATTTATGTGACATAATTTTGTGAAGACATTATTTTCTATGACCTTGCTACAACCTCAGTTTTAGCCACCTGTGTAAGAGATAAAACATGTACTCAAACAATCAGATATAAATTTAGTCCCAGAGGTAGACAATTTCTGGCAAATAACTGATGACAGAATAAAACAACAACATGAATAATTAAAGAACATGATTAACAAAACAAAACAACAGAAAGTACACAATGCGGTCTTTAATTCATAAAAATGATGAATATCTATAATTTTGGACTTTTGCTTCCTTTGATAAGGAAAATCTATGTCCTAAGACAGCCGACAGAGCCAGTGAGAGAGTCCCAGTCCTTGCCCCAGGGCTCTTCTGGGTTCTTTTCCCTGCTCTGCTTCCCGAATGCACCAATCTGGGTTCTTCTCCCTGCCCTGCTTTGTGCATGCGCCAAAAGTGCCAAGTATGCAGAAGTAAAAGTGTATAAATTGCCCCCTTTGTTTGTGCTTGGGGCTCAGACCTTTGGAGACCACTCTCCTCTGAGCCCGCTGGCGTTAAACAAACCTCCTATCCTCCAAGATCTCCGAGTGCCGCTTGGTTCTTCTGTCAGGCGATCCAGTCCAGGTTCCGTAACACCTTAAAATCTGAACTCATTTAAGAAAGCAGTCAGAAAGATAAGAGTTGGTTGATATTCTAATTTTAATACATAATATGTAGCTGCCATGTTGATTGTGTTGTTTTGGCATCTAGAAAAAAAATCAGCCCACAAAATAAAACATGTTTATTTGGGAAGGTGGACCTACTCAAAAACAATACCTTTTATGATTTTAATTAAGTCCCAAGGGAAAGGCCTCCCACAAACAGAAATTGAGATAGCATGTCTTTAAAGATAGTTTTATTGACCTTGCCAGTGTTAGACTATGGGAGCAATTCCAGGGATCTGGATGAACTTCCCCATCATAATTTTGATGTCTCTCATGGCGAGCCAAGCAAGTCTACTTAAGAAATTGATACTGCATATAGACCCTTCTCCTGTGATATTTAGAGACACTCACACCTTTAGTAGTTGGGAATACAGGCAATTAATGACTTTGTAGTCCTCTTCCTTCACGCAAAAGATGTATGCACCTGTTTTGAATCATGGGCACAATGTTCAAGGGTTATGGTACAGTGTAAGCAACAGGGGATTATATTTACACTATGTAATTGAATGTTGTTTATGTTCATTGTCTTCATAAAGATTACATCAGTTGCTTGATAAAGATCTGGTTCAGGCCAATTCTGGTGAAAAACATCCATCATCTCTTGCACCCTCCTTATTTATTATGTAAATTAAAATTTAGAGAATAAAGGCATAGCCCCCAAGCATGAAAAATTACAAGAATCTGATGCAATGAGAAAACAGAAAATAGAAATTTATCCCTAGGACTCTACTAGGATGTGTTTGAATTCTAATAAAAGAGATGTTTTGAGAACAGAATTTATCTTAAACTCACAAGAGGACAGTTTATGAAATGTGGATGGAAACCAAAAAAGAAAAAGAAAATGATAATGAGGATCTAACATTCATTTATCTATCCAACAAGGTTTTATTCAGCTGCTATGTCAGATACCAAGTGCTGAGGATACACTGATGAACAAAAATAAATCCAGTCTTTAACCATGTGGAACTTACAGTCCAGTGGGATGGTATAATAAAAAGAGAATGGACATTGGAGTCAAGAATGTTCTGTTTCTTATCAAGCTCTACTGCAAATTAGCTCTGTGATCATGGGCAAGCCACTTCATTTCTCTGGGCCTCAGATAACTATGTTAAATAATCTCCTTAGATAATTATATTAAATAATTAAATAACCTCTAGGGTCTTCCAGTTTTCAAAATGCCTTACCAGTATTTTATATCCTGCATAAGGAGGTAATTTACCACCTTTTGTCAAAAATAGGATGGCCCAGGATCATCTCCATTTTCCCAAAGTAAAATTCCTCTTTGCCTCTCCAGTATGAAATGTTTGCAGCAGTACAGTGAGATCCAGTATCCTCTTGTGGGACATTCCTATTTTTCCCTACTTTGCTCAAGGAAAATGTTAGTAGCATTTTAGTGAAATCCTTGCTTCTCTCTCTGATGTAGATGCAGTTGTCACTGAAGGTGGGGAGAACTTCAGTGTTGGACAGAGACAGCTGTTCTGCCTTGCTAGGGCCTTTGTCCGCAAGAGCAGCATTCTCATCATGGACGAAGCCACGGCTTCCATTGACATGGCCACGGTGAGTGCATTATCTGTACTTCTTAAATTGAAGATCTGGGGAAATGCACATGAAAATTACAACTTAGTTTTTCCCGCTTGGGTTCAAAGTCCTCAGTACTGTTGTTTCAGTGCCTTCTCATTCATCTCTTTAATCAATTGATGATAGCACATTGAGAATTAAAATAAAGGAGACATGACAGTTTACTGCCAGTCAACATAAAATAAATTGGCCATCACTTTTTGATAAATTCTTAAAACAGTATAATTCCAGTGCTCAGTTGACAAGAGTACTGTACTGTGTTCAAGCGTTCAAGTCTTACGCCATGGAAGTTATAAAATGAAGTATGCAAATCTTATTGCTAACCAAAATCAATCATTATTTTCTAAAGCAATTTGAAGAAGGATTCACTAGAATTAATAATGATCTTCTCAGTGTGTTCATGGTAACGAGCCAGAAACTTTGCCTTTTGAAAGAAATTATTTAAAACTGTTAAATACGCCAAGAAGGATCTGTCTAGAAGGCTATGATTAAGTGGAGAAAATGTCACATTAAGCCACAAACTGTAAGCGTGAGCAATTAATGTTGTTCTTATACAAGTTAACTTGATATTAAAAGTTTGGCATCAGAAAGGACAAAAATAAAAAACATCCACAAACATGGTATTTTCTTGCTGCACACTCTAGATTGGGTAAAAAATATCCAAAAAGCTGAAACGGTTTCAAGATTATTAACAGTCCATTATATATGGAAATGCTAATTGACATCATTTTTTTCTGTTAAGACTAATCAGTTATACAAAGTTATAAATCCTTCTCAAAGTTAACATAATTTAAAGTAATAAATAGTTTCTAATTAAGCCAGTTCACTAGATACATAACTACATCAAAATTAGTATTAATTGCTAAGGATTTACAATATTTACAATTTACAATAAAGGTTATTATAATACAGCCTCAGTAGAGATGGGAGAGAAAGGGAGAATGGAGCATATGGAGCCTTTGGAGCCCAGCAGAAGCTTACTGTGGGGACTGCTCCAGGGAAGACAGGAGCTGGGAGTTCTCAGCAGGGATTGGGCCTGGGGGCGGGGCGCGGGGCGGTCTTTGCTCTCGGGGACAAAATAGTATGGAGAGAAAAAGGACTCCAGAGAAAATTCAGGCTTAATTTATTGATTTTTTGGCAGGAAAACATTTTGCAGAAAGTGGTAATGACGGCTTTTGCAGACCGCACCGTTGTTACAATAGCTGTAAGTATTGGAGACAGGGTTGATTTACTCCTCTTTGGTTTTTGTTCCAAGATTCAATAATCTTTATTTTGGGGCAATTCAAGTATATGTATCTTGAATTATGTATTTCTCTGCCAATGTTTCTGTATCTGTGCAAAACAAAAAACCAAAACAACAACAACAACAAAACACAGCTATGCTCTGAAAGCCTTTATATTGTTTTTTTTTTTTCCCCAAACTGTTCTACCTAGCTCCCCTAATTTACAGTGATGGGATATCTTAAATCTAAGGATTCCAACAGGAATGCCTGCGTTTTTTTTTTTCACCAGATACAGATGGTAGTTCATATGGGATAATTCTCTTTTCAATAATCTAATCACCCGATGAGCAGTTTCAGAAGCAAAATTCTTCTACGTGACTACCAATTCTGCTACCGCTTACACTTAATTTCTGTTCCTATTCACCTAACTGTTTAAAAAAAGAAGGTAATGAGATACATCACAGCTGAGGTAGATACTTTCTCTGAGCACCAATCCAATTGAAGAATTGCCCAAATCTTTGTAATTGTAATAGCTTAACTTACATTAGGCCATGGTTTTCTTCTTCCTCTTTGCAGGTGGATGGATTCTTGCTCACATTTAGGCTTAATGTTTAACAAGAACTTTTTTGATCGAATCACCTGGACATTTTCCCTCTTGCTGATTCTCGTCTTTCCATTTCTCTTTTCTCTCCAGCACCGTGTTTCTTCTATTTTGGATGCAGGTCTTATTTTAGTCTTCTCTGAGGGTATTTTAGTGGAGTGTGATACTGTTCCAAACTTGCTCGCCCACAAGAATGGCCTCTTTTCCACTTTGGTGATGACCAACAAGTAGACCATCATCAGCTACCCTGCCAACTGTCCCATCCTCCGGTAGTTATCTTAAGGGCATCCTTCTCAGCCAGGCAGGGCTAATGCAGTGATTAAAGGGGGTGGTGCGGTGAGAGAGCTACCTACAGAGTGTTCTCACATAAATCAGCTCAACCAGCTGATTCAGTTATGTTCAATACTGAATGAGGCGCATGCATAATTTTCTAATATATATATATATATGCAAAAGATAGTATTTACAAAAACCCAAGAACCAGATTCACCTCTGTTGTAAGGACCAATTTCACTCTTCTTTGGGGAATATATTGTAAGTGTCCTTAAAAATACTGTACATGTTCCTTACCTGCCCTGAAGATTGCATTTTTTTAATTTACAGAATTATTTAGGTTTAACTGTTGAATACTGGGAGCTATGTATGGAGTGCTTGCTTATGCTTCCATTTTTGTCAATGATGCATGGAAAAAGAGCAGCCTTTGAAGTGCAGCGTTTTTTAAAGTGGCAGGAAATCAGGGCCCACCTTCTGTACACAGGGTCTAAATGAAAAAAAACACTTTTCTCTCACTTTCCCAATGAACTCTGCCCTGGAGGAGAGTTTCCTGATTAAGTCATTCATACTAGAGTGTGAATGATTTAATGGGTGAGAGAACTGGCTAACTTGAAAACAGTTCTCTAATATTTTCAAGAATTTTCTCACTGGAGAAGGTAGGAAGATATTTGGAGGTGGGGGAGAAAGAACGGACTGGTAAAGGGGGGGAAGCAGACCCTTGCATACTCAAAAGACTAGTTTTTTCTCTCTTCTGCATGAAGCATGGTATTGTTGAGTGGCCCCATTTAGTTTACACCTGGAAGATTACTTGAGCATAATTTGTATTTTTAACCAAAAAATTATGTTCTCTTTCTTGTCCACCTACATTCACTGAATACTTTTCCATAGACTTCTGTATCTTTCACTCATTCTTCATTTCAAGACCACTGAAGTGGAGGGGGCCACTAGGATACCTCCCCACAGGGACACAGAAAGCCATGGGTAGGATGAATCACTGTGGGACCAACTCCTCTTGCCAGGCTCTTAACAGAGAGAGACACCAGCAACCTGTGGAAGAACCCTTGTAGAATGATTCTCAGTTCTGTTAAACAGTAACTGTTCTTTCTTCCCTGCTAAAAATTGTTCTGTTAATTTTGTTAACTACCACTGAAAATTGTGAAAGAACTTCAAACGATAACTTTCTCTGGCTTCTAAAAGGAAGCCTTCGTGCACCAAAATAGTGCATGGCATTTATTTATGAAAGTGATTTTTATCCTTCACTCTTGATTAGATTAATTCTCTAGAGCATTTTAAAAATTGCACCAATGCTCTTACAATTGACACCACACTTTCTCAGGCAAAAAGTAATTTGGATTAATGGAATAAGCACCACATATATTTCTTTTATTGGCCAAGATTTTTTCCATGTTTTTATTTTTATTTCTTAAATAAACATTATTTTAGTATAATAAGGCAATGTTTATAATGTTCTCTTTAGGGATTTAGAAGCCAGATTCTTTTTTTAGCATCCTGATACAGTTATGGAAGAATTAATCTTTTTTGGAGGGAAAATACACAGCAGATATTAAACAGTTCAGTAATTTTAAGTTTATTTTTTTTCTAAATGCTGGGTACACAAGTGACTCTGGTCTTCTCTCAAAGATAAATAAACATTATCCTGCAAATTTTGGTAATTCCTAAATACATATTATTCATTACCAATATTCAGTGAATGATAGGTTTGTCTATGGAGGTTGGAAATAGTGGTACATGTTCTGAGCCGGCATCTTTATTATCCTCTATATATGTCTTACTTTTCTCCTCTAGTTGTCCCAGCTGTGACTGTTTGCTTTTCTGAAAGCATAAGCGTTGAGACTACCCCATCTACATGGCCCAGGGAAGATGATAGGCCTTTGGCCCTAGGGATGGCTTTAGGTTGGACTCTGGGTTGTTAGGAGAAGGGACTTTGGAAAACTGTGTATCAGATAAACAGACGATATTTCTGAGTTTGGCACTCCCATCAGCGTGCTGATGTTTTGACCACAAAGTCCAGCTCCAGTGTGGTAGGTAGCCCAGAACCACATATGGCTATTGAGCACTTGAAATGTGGGTAGTCCAAATTAAGACATGTTGTAAGTGTGAAATACACACTAGATTTCAAAGACCTGGTACTAATAGAAAAATGTAAAAGATACCATTATTAATTTTTATATTGGTTATATATTGAAATATTTTGACTATGTTGGGTTAAAATATATTATTAAAATGGATTTCATAGGGTGCCTGGCTGGCTCAGTTGGTAGAGCGTGTGACTCTTCATCTCAAGGTCATGAGTTCAAGCCCCACATTGGGCATGGAGCTTATGTTAAAAAAAAATCAACTGTATTTAATATAACTTCACATAGATTTCACCTGTTTATTTGTGCCTTGAAAAAGTGGCTTTTAAGAAATTTAAAATTAGATGTGTCTCACATTTGTAGTCCATATTATATTTCTACTGCACAGCACCTATCTTACCAAGAAAAGTAAAAAAGGCCCACGGCACAGATTTTTCCCTTGTAAATTTTTAAAAATAAAAAATAATTTTAACTGACATTTAGTATGTGCTTGTATGTGTCAGACAAGGTGCTGAATTCTTTTTACATGGATTATCTCATTTGATCTTCACTACCATTCTGCGAGGCAGGTGATTATTATCATCATTTTATAGATGTGGAACTTGAGGCATACAAAAGTTGAGTTTGCTGATCAGGATTGCACAACCACACGGGTAGGGAAAGCAAAATACACACCCAGTCTAACCTTAAAGCCTGTGCTCTTTTAACCATGATGCTAATAATGGCAGGTGAGCAATCCTCGAAGGTAGCAGATACTCCCTACAAAACAATTTGATAGCAGGGTGGAAATATCTCATGCTTTGAACTTAATAAGCCTGATTTTATGCTGGTTCTGCTACTTATTATCTATGTGATCTCCTTTTTTTGCTTTATCTCTATGAGCCACAATGGTCTCGCACATAAAGCAGAGAGAGAAAACACCCACATTTGAGGAATGTTTTGATGATTAACAAGTATGTGTGTGGAGCACCTAATGTATAATATATGCTCAATAAGTGGTAGCTTGTATTATTATTAATTACTAATCCCAAAGCTTCTCTCCAAAGGGTGCCAGGAGAAAAGAGAGAACAAGTGTGTGGCAATAATCTCTAAAGTCTAAGAGTGGGCTTGTCTGAAGTCCTGGATAACCCATTCTAATACTGCATGCCAGAATGGAATTCCCCATATTGTGTTCCCAGAATCAAACCACCTTCCAAGGCTCTTCAAATTGTGTGTTAGCCCACGAATTAGTTGACTCTACCCAAGAGAGAATTTTAGTCTAGACTAAACTATAACCCAACTGGTTCACGATGGGTCTTCTTATCATTTAATTATTTGACAAACAAAATTAGCCTCCTTACACTTCCATGAAAGTGCTGAAACTACTATATTAGCTACACTCAATTTAACACAGCCCATCCAAGACCCAGTCACACTCGCCAGTATTTAAAAGTATGTAAATAATGATATGTTAAGTAAGACAGAAAAAGAGGCTGTGCTTTTATTCTAGTACCTCCTAGCACCTCAAGATAAATAAGTAGTGAGATATGCATATTCCATTGCTTTGGCTCGTGAAATTTGTAACCAGTACATGTATTTTTTTTTTTTCACTCGCAGCATCGGGTTCACACTATTCTGACGGCAGACCTGGTTATTGTGATGAAGCGAGGAAATATTTTAGAATATGACACTCCAGAAAGCCTCTTGGCTAGGGAAGATGGAGTTTTTGCTTCTTTTGTCCGTGCGGACATGTGAAGGGATGTCTTAAACCGATACATGAATTTAAAATAATGCAGTCATAACCTACTTAGTGGATCATCAGCTTGACCTTCAAAAAGTGGCATCTTAAATTTTTACACTTTTGTAAAGCATATTTGTTGTGTTGTGGGACTTTGTAATTAGTTACAGTGTCACTTTACCAATGAATATTGTATTTCCTATATTGATATTTCTTTTTTGTTTTGTTTTCCAAGATCTTACTGCTTAATATGTTCATTACTGATGACTGTCTAATGATTAAGCCACTTTACCGTTAAGAATTGCAGGCTGTATGAAAACATGTAAGCTACTTTAACTGGTAAGTCAACAGCTATAATTTCTCATAATTTTAAGGCTGGTAAATACCTCTCAGGCATAGAAGTCACCATGAGTATTCAGTATGGTTATACTCTTATTTGGAAGAATATGTTTTCCGTTTTGTTGGTGTCCCCAGATGTTACTGGAAGAGAAATAAGAGGACAGGTTTTCTAATCAGTGAGAAAAGAAAACACTCAAATCCATTATCTACCGGATGAAAATATTCTCTGTGTTCATTACCATTAGTAGCAATACTGATGCTTCCTTTAACAGTCTCTTTTCCTCATCTAAATTGTTTCCTGCTACCAAGAAGTCATTTATGGTAGCTTTGGAAAGCCAAAGCCTTAATCAGAGAGATCATGGGAAAAGTTTGGATATTTGAAAAATTATACTCAAGGTTCCATTTTTCCCTGTTCAGTCAGGAGAGAGTTCCTAAGGTATCAGGAATAATGTGCTTTTTCCAGACTAAAGTTCAAAGAGTAAATATATTCAGTCCTTCCATGGCAGGCCAGCTAAAACTCTCTATGGTTTAATTCACCACTAAATGTGGTTATGATCCTGAGCCCCAAAATTCCACATTTTCAAGATTCAGGAGCATAGGCAAGTGGCCTCGTTTGCCTATGTAAGTATATATGAAACAAGTGTCTATTTCAAGGTGGAAGAGTATATTTCTTTTTGACATTTCTGCCCAGTGGTGTCACATGTATATCCATTTGGCACTGCTCTAATTTTAATGCACATGTAAAAAAGTGAATCAAAGTGTTATTCTAATTTTAATGTACATGTTAAGAGTGCATCAAATATGGATTGAATATTAGTGTTATGTTTTGTTTAAATATAAATTAATAAATTTTAAAATACTAAAAGTTACCTGCATTGTCTACTAAGCAGCCAAAGCTTTCTACTATAATTCTCTGCCCATCTAGTATAAATATCATGGGTTTTCATATGAAGGCCGCGTGCATTGTTAGATTTTGAAGAATTATGATTGATAGAAAAAGAGAATTTGTGCCCCCTCTCTGTAATTTTTATGTTCAGTTTATTGTATTGTGTACTCACTCTTGGGAAATCTGTAATACTAGTTTATCTGGCATATATGACTGGGACTTCACCTAAATATAGAGTCCTGATGTTTACCTAAGATAAGTTCCATAAGGATGGACAGATGTGTTCTGTGTCATTTAGCTTGAATTGTCACCCTTTGTTGTATATCTAAAACCTCATTGAGAAGAATCCTCTTAATGTTTCCTGAAAGCTAAACAAAACAGAATCAATAACTATTAAATCAATCTTGAAAATATTTTCTAAAAATTCTACCAATCTCCTCAAAGTATTTCTGGCATGGAAATGTTTTGTAAGGTTGCATTTGCATGGTGCTGGTTATCAACTTACTCCTCATTCTCACAGAGAAATGGGGATTTACCCGTAACAGTAACCCCTCACGATATTTGTAAATATATATGTCAACAGCAGCATAGCTGATGACCCTAAACTGAGAATCACATTTCTCATTCTGACACCCAAGTGGTCACTAGTTCTGCATTAACTTTTAGTCACTTGAGTGTTTAATAGTTTACAAAACTGAACTGACTGAATAAAGTCAGGAATGACTTTTTGAATTGTTTAATCATCTATTATGCTATATGTATGATCTATTGAATATAGAAATGACTCATCCTGAAATAACTTTTTAGTAAATAGGTACATATCTATAAAAGATGAGCCTTAACCAAATCAAATTTTACACTCCCCAATTTTACACTTAATTAACCAAAATCCATTTTATAGATTTTAATTCCTTAATATTTGTTAAAAGCAATAAATGCATAAAGATTTATATGAAAAATAACAAGGTTACTGATATCACTTCGAGGTTTTTAAAAAATTTCTCTTGAAGGACTGAGCATCCTCTATTCTTGTGCTACTACTCGTGATCCATTTAAAAGTCAGCTTAGCTCTAGATTAGATACCAGAAGACTGGTATTTGAGATCCCATAACTGATATTTGAGATCTGGGACCATGTCTGTTTATTCTTTATGTCCTTTACATTTAATACAAGTGTCTAGCCCACAGTAGGCCCTAATAAGTATAGTAGATTGACCCATTGATTAGTCTCACCACTAGCCATGGGCCTAAAACTCTGGGTTATTCTCTGCACTTTTGTGTTGTGTTGATTCTACTGTGAAAATATACTGCCTTGGTATTATATAATAAATTACTCTTTCTCTTTGCTTGATTAAATAGGGTTATTATTCTATCACTTATTCTTTCACTTATTGGGTATCAACTAGGATGATCAACAGATATAAATCAACACCAATTGCTGAGATAATACCCTGTTTTGACAGTTTTGTTTCACATTTGCCACTTGTCCTGCACTTCACTAGTTTTATATATAGGTTCTATGTGGAAGTTTCCATTAAGTGAAACAGCTGTGTCAATAATTTTATGACATCTCTAATTAAATAGCTGGATGTCTGGACTTTTCCCTAAGGTTTGTTGATCAATTTTTATAGTTATCTTCCAATATATCTTTTATTGCTTATTTTGTTCTATACTCTCTTGGACTTCTGTGATTTACAGTACCATGATAATTCCATTATTGACCCATTATCTAAAGTTAAATGCAATCTTCTTATCTTAGTGTCTTAGCATAAGAAACAGTAGTCAAGAGTATGTGTCCTGTCACTTAGGTTTATTTTTTTCTTGAGTAAATACACATCATTCCCAACAGTTTTTCTCGAGCACTAGTAAGGTGCACCTGGCTCAGACTTTCCAATGAAAGGGCTTGGAGCTGTATTTCTAGCAAGTGTCTCCAGATGAGATTCATAACTAGCCAAGTTTGGAATCACTGGTCTACCTCAGTCATCACGTAAATAACATGGAGCCACAGAATACTGAAGGTGATTTTCACATGCTCCCGCCTCTTTCCTGACATTACCTTCTTCCAGATGGCTAAAACGGGCCTCTCAGTGTCACTGAGTGAACCCCTTAGTTGCATCGTAAAAGAAACGTAGAGGTAAATGAACCGAATCTTACCTAGACGATATAAACTGGGGTTCTGAATGCTGTTTTCTTTTGTTTTGTGGTTTAATCAGCAAAGAGGCAAAGCCTCTTCCCCCCACATCTGAATTAGCTGTCGTATCATTTATACATTATTCTGCTAAATTTAGAGTCATATTTCCAAATGTTTGCAGTCCATAAATGTGAGGACTTTGGGTAGGTTTCACTATTGATGTCTCACAATATGGAAAGGTAAGTTATCTGATGATTATTCCCCTTTCCACCTTCACCTTTTTTTCTACAGGTGTTGTCATCATTGCTGATATGTGAAGGTTGACATATTCAGTCTGTATATCTGCTATATAAGATTTAAGTAATTTCTTTTTTGGGGTGCCTGGGTGGCTCAGTCGGTTAAGCATCTGACTTCTGACTTGGGCTCAGGTAGTAATCTCTGGGTCGTGGGATCAAGCCCTGCATTGGGCTCCTCGCTCAGCGAGCTACCCCTGCTTGTGCTCTCCCTCTCCCTCTCTCTCGCAAATAAATAAATAAAATCTTTTAAAAATAAATAAATAATTTCTTTTTCTATGGGTAGTAACAAATTCCTCTTAGCCATTCACACTATGGTCACCAATGCCCTCTTTCTAAATTGACAAAGATCAAGGGAGTCATACCTGGCTAAAGAAGTTAGTAGGCTCTAAGAAGAATGCCCTCTGTGACCTTTGTGCCACCAACCATCACAGATCATCTGCAGTTATATACTACATACTAATGACAAAGAACTTTGTTTTCTTTTTTTAAATTTTTAAAAATTAACATATAATGTATTATTTGTTTCAGGGGTACAGGTCTGTGATTCATCAGTCTTACACAATTCACAGCGCTCACCATAGCACATACCCTCCCCAATGTCCATCACCCAGCCACCTCATCCCTCCCACCCCCCACAACCCCAGCAACCCTCAGTTTGTTTCCTGAGATTAAGAGTCTCTTATGGTTTGTCTCCCTCTCTGGTTTTGTCTTGTAAGAACTTTGTTTTCTGAGCATTATTTTTATCACTTAACCGGCCCACTGCATAAAATAAGTAATGTGTTCATAAACAGCAACAGTATAACACTGCTTAATGCCACTTCATTCCCGTTTTTCTCTTAGAGCTACACTATGCACTATTTATATACATTATCAGTTATTGTTAAGTGAAGGACTATTGACCTTTAATATTATCAGAGTCAAGTGGATTTAGACCAGCTCTTCCATATCTAGGTATTTGCTCTTTGACCCATAGTAGTTGGGGCTTTGTTCCAACACTAGTTAGTTAAGTAAAGAGCAATTAAAAAAAAAATTAATCTCTTTCAGAAATCCAAAATGTTTATCAAGCCTTTGAATGTAGACATAAACAGAATTCTCAATTGTTTAAATCCCTTAATGTGTACCATTAAGCATCTTTCACAGGTTACAACATATCCTCCAAACCCTCACCCAGTGTGCATGCCATCCCCCATGTGCACATAACTGTTCACATTTTATCTTGCTGTCTTAAAGAATAAAGCTGCATGAATCTTTTCACCACATATTAATACAATGCATAGAAAAGTCAAATACAGGTGCCCACAATAGATGGCATAAAGAGAAATTCTTATAATCACAGTAATTTTTAAGTGTATCTTCTAGCCCTAATGCCACTTTAGGAAGATATTTAACTTCTAGATGGATCATAGAATGTGTTTCCAGTGAGAGGAGATTCAGTGTTTTTTTTCTATCATTTTTTAAGATAATCATGGCAATATATTGATGGGTTATAGTGATCAGGCTCTTTTTAGTTCAACAAAGGGATGATAATTGTTGTCATAAAGGTAGTGACCTGGGTTGGGCATCTATGAAAGAAAGATGGTTGGCCCCCCTACTAAGGGATGCTACAGGAAAATGAACTTGGGTTTTTCATCTGGATTAATAATTTTATGAATATCTGCTATGTGTTCACCTTTGAGTAAATCAGGTGTGATTCAAGGAGATTTTTTGTCAGGGTAGTACAGAACTTTCTGGTATGTTAAAAATAGTATGAAATCTTCTGAAATAACTATCTTTATTGTACTTCTACAGGGAAAGAACTGAGATTAGAATTTAAATGAATCACCTCCAAATCATGGATCTGTCTCCAGAGATGGCACTTTAAGCACCAGGGGATGGAAGTGGAGAGATGGGGGTGCTGCTGAAAGGACACATCTGCCTTAAAATCTAGGGAAAGCAGAATTATCAGGTCCTAGGACAAGTGCAGGCTGGGCCAAGTCTAACAGCCTGTCTGGGGACAGTCCACTCCCTCAATTCCATCTCTCTATCTCAAGCTTCTCAGCTTCCTTCTACCGTTCTGTGCCATTCTATCCTTCCATCCACTTCTGTCTCACCTCGCATGTAGCCTTGATTAACCCACTCCTATCTTAGATGAAACCATCTCCACTTTTCAGATTGTCCTTTTCAAAGTATCAAGCAAGGAATCGATTTTGCGCAGCTCATCTTTCTATCTTATGCATGACTGGACAACTTTTCACTACTTCACTTTGGGTCAGGGATTGACTTCTGGCCTAAAAAGCTGTGGCCAGATAATATAGCCAATTGAAAGTAATGCCGAGGAAAACGTAACACAGTCTGGAAAGTGCCATGAAAGCAAGAATACAAACCAAAATCACAACCAGTAATTTCAGAAAAAGAGTGATGATACTGAGCTGGCTACTGATTATTTTCCTTTGGAAAATAAAAAATTAAGGGAGGGAGAACCATTCTTCCATCACATGAGCAGTAGAGTGAGCTTGTTGACTAAACCCTTTGGACATTCTTTACATGGTCCCACCTTTGCTCCAGAGAAAGGGAAAGTCCAAAGTAGGATGTAATTTTCTTTTAAACAAGAAAACAAAACAAAATCTCCTGCCATAAGTAATCACCTCCAAATATTGACTTTTTAAGCCCAAGTTTTATTTCCCTGTGGGAATGACTGCATAACTCACAGCCTGTTAGACACTTTCTCACAACCACCCATTCAAAACAACCAGTAACACCCACTTAGAATTGCACTCTCTCACCCATTTTAGGATCCCCAATACATAGGACAATTATAAGCATACCTCAGATAGGGCACCAGTTCCTCCCAGGGACCTGTCACTCTCAGACACTTACAAGTGCCAAGCACTTGGCCAAGGCACTGAATTTGCTGTGTCATTGGCAAACTGGAAAAAAGAGGTGGCAAAATGCTGTGACTTGGGGTACAAGATTTCACCTGAAAAAAAATGAGCTGCTTTTCTTTGTTCCCACTTGACTGAACTTCTAGCATATATTAAATACAGTAAAATATTATATTGGAAACACAAGGCATCTAGGCTTTTGGCCAAAAAACTTAGGGAAAAAATTAGCAAGCCTAATATTTCATGAGAAATTCTTGGCTTAAACAATATTTTAATAAAGCTTAACTATGTGTGCCAATAAAGCAGAGAGATGACATAATGACTTATGATTTAAATATCATATAATTTCTGTAATGTCTAGTACCATCTTGTATCAAACAACATGAGAGAAGCAAAATTCCTGGGGGAAAGAAGAGCAATGTGAAATCAATTCAGATATCAGTAGAATGCATATTGCATAAACCATCTCATTAAAAAATTTGATGAAAGGATAATTACAACTAACATATTGAGCAGATATGAGCCTTATAAGTATAATCTCATTTAATCTTGACAAAAATTCTACGAGGCGAACATTATCACCATTTTATAATTGGGGTTCAGATTGGCTAATTTGCCCAAGGTTTAATGGAACAGAGATTCAGGCAGTCCGACCCCAAGGCCCACACTCCTGGCCATGCGCTATACTAGACTGATGATTCAGTTAGTGAATCCATTGAGTTCTCTTGGAAATAAGTGCTTTACATGGTCTGTGATATATAATAAAGAATAATTATGTTAGCCTATGGAGAATATATTGAAAAAAGAAACTGGACCAGGAATTAGAAGACCTGAGTTCTAGTCTTGTTTCTATCACATATTGGATGTGTGGCCTTGGATTAATCATTTAAAACCTGAGTTTCCATTTCCTCATTTGCAAAAAGGAAAACAAAAATGCGTGATAACTACTCTGTCAGCTTCACTGAGTTTTTGTGATACTCCAATTAAATGGCGATGAGAGGAATTTTATAATTTGAAAAGCACATTCTGACATGAAATACCAGTATTGAGAATCCACTACATATACCA